AGACCTTTTTCATGGGTCAAAAGACTCAGTATTGGCAAGATGTCAATTCTCCACAATTGACCTACAGATTCTATTCAATCCCAATTAAAATCCCAGCAGGATTTTTTTCTAGAAACTAAAAAAATGATTCTAAAATTCACATGGAAATTCAAAAAACCTAAAATAGTCAAAACAACACTGAAAAGAAGAACAAAGTCAGAGAACTTACACTACCTGATTTCAAATATTATTACAGGTTGAGCATCTCAAATACAAAAATACAAAATCCAAAATGATCCAAAATTTGAAACTTTTTGAGTAATGTTGTGATGCTCAAAGAAAATGCTCCCTGGAGCATTTTGGATTTCAAATTTTTGGATTTGGGATGCTCAACCAGTAAGTATAATACAAATATTCGAAAATCTGAAAAAAAATTCAAAATCCAAAATAATTCTGGTCCCAACCATTCTAGATAAAGGATACTCAACTTGTACAAAACTACACTAATGAAAACTACACTAATGAAACAGATACTGATGTAAAGATAGAAAATAGATTGATGAAACTACATGGTGTCCCAGAATAAATCCACACATTATGGGCAATTGATATTTGACAAAGCTGCAAAAAAATTCAGGGAAGAAATATTGTCTTTTCAACAAATGTTGATGGAATAATTGGATGCCCACATGCACAAAATGAACTTTGATCTATACCTCACATTACATACAAAAATTGACTCAAAATGGATCAGAGACCTAAATGTACAACCTAAAACCATTCAACTTCTGGAAGGAAACAAGGTCTTTATGACCTTGGGTTAGACAAAGATTTCTTAGATGACACTAAAATTACAATCCATAAAAGAGAAAATTAATAAATTTAACTTCTTCAGAATTTAGAATTTCTGCTCTGCAAAAAACACTGTTAAGAAAATGAAAAGGTAAGCCACAGACTGGGAGAAAATGCTTTCAAAGCATATACTTGACAAAGGACTTGTATCTAGAATATATAAAGAGCTCTCACAACATAATAAGACAAACAACCCAATAATAACGAAATGGGAAAAAGTTTGAACAGACACTTCATCAAAGTAGACATATGAATGGCTAATGGGGACATGAAAATATACTCACATGACTAGTTAGGGAGGTCCAGATTAAAACTACAATAAGATTGCACTGTACACCTATTAGAATGGCTAAAAATAAAAAGGTTGCACATATTAAGCGTCGACAAGAATGCAGAACAACTGGAACTCTCATACACTGCTGGTGGGAATATAAAATGGTACATCCACGTTGGAAAACAGTTTGGTAGTTTTTTAAAAAGCTAAATGTACCTCCACTATATTATACAGCCATATTACGCCTCAGTATTTACCCAAGATAAAAGTAAATATATGTCCTTATAAAGACTTGTACACAAACTTTCATAGAAGCTTTATTTGTAGTAGCCCCATCCCGGAAACAACCCAAATGTCCATCAAGAGATGAATGGATAAACACATCATGGTACCTGCATGCAATGGAATATTAGCCAGCAATAAAAGGGAAGGAACTGTTGAGACATGCATCAATATGAATGAATCTCTGCTGTGGTTTCAATCTATGTGTCCCTCCAAAATTCATATGTTGGAACTTAAACCCAGAGGTGATTATATGTGGGGACTTTGGGGAAGTGATTAAATCATGAGGCCTCCACCCTCATGAATGGAATTAATGCCCTTCTAAAAGAGGCTTTGGAAAGCTGCTTGGCCCTTTTTGCCTTCTATCTCTTCTGCCATGTAAGGTATACAGCAAGAAGGTGCCATCTTGGAAGCAGAGAGTAGCCCTCACCAGACACCAAATCTGCCAGCACCTTGACCTTGGACTTCCCAGCCTCCAGAACTGTGAGAAATAAATTTGTCTTCTTTATAAATTACCCAGTGTCTTAGTCCATTGTGCTGCTACAACAGAATACCTGAGATTGAGTAATTTATAAAGAACAAAATTTATTTTCTCACAGTTCTGGAGGCTTGGAAGACCAAGGTCAAGGTGCTGGTATTTGTCTGGTGAGGGCCTTCTTATTGCACCCTCTGGAAGGGAGCAACACTGCGTCCTCACACAGTGGAAGGCAGGAGAGCAAGCTAGCCAAATGCTGTGTGAAGCATCTTTTATAAGAGCCTTAATCCCTCTCACAAGGGCAGATCCTTCGTGGCCCAATCACCTCTTAAAGACACCACTTCTTAATACTATCACATTGGCAACACAATCGCCAAATAATTTTTTTTGAGTGAAAAGAACCAAACACAAAAAAACACTTATTACATCATTCCATTTATACAAAACTCTAGAAAATACAAACTACCCTGTAGTGACAGGAAGCAGATCAGTGGTTGCCTGGGGACAGGAGGGGGGTGGAGGGATTACCCAAAGCTAAGGAAACACTGAGGGTAGTGGATACGTTTATTGTCTTGATTGTGGTGATTGTTTCATAGTTTGTGTGTGTATGTATGTGTGCATGTCAAAGCTTGTCAAGTTGTGTAATTTAAACATGACAAATTGACAGTTTATTGTATGTCAAATATACCTTGATAGATCTAGTTTCTTAAAAAAGAACACTTACAAGTAAATAATAAAAAGACCAACAACCACACAAAATTAGGCAAACTACTTGAACAGACACTTTACAGAGGAAGATGTAGAAATGGCTAGTTAGCACACAGAAACACAGTCAACATAATTAGTTATCAGGAAGATGATAATTGAAATAACAATGAGATACCACTTCACAGCCACTTGAATGGCTAAAAATAAAGGATGATAGACCCAAATGTTGATGGGAATGGAAAAGAAAAGGAACTCTCATACATTTCTGATGGGAGTGTAAATTGCACAACCACTTTGGAATACATTCTGGTGGTTTCTTGTAAAATACACAACTATCCTATGATGTGGCAATTCTTCTCCTAGGTATTTACCCAAGAAAAATAAAAGCATATGTCTACACAAAGAAGTGTACATGAATATTCATAGTCACTTTATTTATCATAGTCTAAACTGAAAAGAGTCCAGATGATAACCCTAGTGAATGAATAAACCAATTCTGATATATCCATATGATGGACTACTTACTACCCAGCAATAAAATGAAAGGAACAGTAACACATTCAACAACATAGATAAATCTCAAACACATCATGCTGAATGAGAGAATCCAGACACAAAATAGTACATACTATCTTGTTCCATTCACATGGAATAGTAATTGCTCTAACAGGCAAAAGTAGTCTATGGTAAGAAAAATTAGAATAGTGGTTGCCTCTGTGTAGGATTGTGGCAGAGACTGACTGGAAAGGGGCAAATGGGAAATTTCTGGGGTGTTGATAATGTTCTGTGTTTTAATAGGGGTTTGGAGTATGTATGCATTTGGAAAACTTCACTATACGTGGCACTTCATATTTGTGCATTTCACTGCTTGTAAATTTTGCCTCAAAAATATAAAAGAACAGTAAAGAAATAATTGATGTCTAGTTAATGAGATACATGCTGATGTGTTTAGGGGTGAGGTATACCAATGTCTGCAACTTACTTTGTAATGCATCAGTAACATAAGGACAACCGTGCAATCAAGCAAGTACAGCATAATGCTAATTGTAGAATATTAGATTGGTAGGTGGGTGCAATTCTTTCAATTGTTCAATTGTATGTTGCAAAACTTTCATAATACAATGGGGAGAGAAAATAAGAAAAAAATTCTCATCTAGGGGATAAATTTGTTACAAGAATATTTAAGAAGTTGGTTATGATCATTATCGCTAATAATGCATTAAATGCTTATTCATAAAAAATGAAGACAGGAAGTTAGACCACGACCCTCAGAATCAATTTCAGTGCCAGGCTTCACCCCCCCCCCAGCACTTCTCTTTTCTCGCTTGCTCACTGCACTCCAGCTGCATTTTCCTTTTGGAGCCTAGAATATGCCAAAGTTGTTCCTGTCACAGGGCATTTGCACTTCCTTTCACCTGTGGAGGCTCTTCCTGTCTTCATTCACCTTCACATGGCTGAGTCCTACAAGTCCTTCTTGTCCTCCAACTCTCCCCTCAGCCCTAGCCTCACTGACTCCCCCACCCATCACTCCCAAACATCACCCTGATTGATGTTCTTCAAAGTTGTCAGCACTCTTCTTAGGTGTTTTATGCTGATCTTTGTTTATTACTGGCTTCCTCACTAAACCAGAATCTTCAGGAAAGCAATGACCCATCTCACCAGGGCTTAGCACAGTGCAGGGACAGCAGCAGCTTCGTAGATTTTTGTTGACCGACAAAAAATTCATGTAGAACTGACTGTCATCTGCTTGCAGCACCTCTGATCCAAGGACCCTGCTTTTTTTTCTTCATAGCACGACCTGTTATTTTGAAATTAACGCAAGTATTTACTTGTCGATTGCATTCTCCACAGCAAAACACACACATACACTCACAGGAGCTCTAGGGCACAAAATGTGTGCCCCCTTAGGGCAGGGATGAGGCCCGACTTTGCACACAGCTGTATTTTCAGTACCTGGCACAGCAAGGATTCACAGCGTCTTTAGTAGCTCTGTGAGGAATTTGATCCCTTCGGTGAGGGGCTGGCTTTTCTGTCTTCACCCTCTGTTCTCAACCCTCCACTCCCACCACCACCCTAAAGGCGCCCAAGGGGGAGGGGACTTTTCCATCCCTTCGTTCCCTCCTTAGTCTGTTGGTCGATTTGTTGGCTAGTTCACTCATTCCTTCGCGCATTCGTTCCACTCCTCCCCCCCTCCACCCAAGCAGTACCCAGCCGGTTCGCGCCGCTCCCCAGCCGTCTGGCCAGACACGCCTCCCCGCTCCGTCCCGCCCCTAACCCCGCCCCTTTCCCTCCCCGCCCCCTCTCCAGGCCAATCGGGGCCGGGGCCGGGGCGGGGCCTCGCTCTCCCAGTACCCACGGCGGTGCCTGAGACTCCGGAAACGCGCCGCGGGGCTGCTGGGCTCAGCTGGGCGCTGGCGGCTCCGTGGCGCTTCCTGCCACGCCGGGCCTGCCTGAGCCGCACCAACGCCGCTCTGCCAAGGCCGCGTGTCAGCCGCCGCCGGGCCCGGGTGAGCGCGCGGGCCGCGGGAGGATTGCGGGGGGGTGCGGGAGAGAGTGGGGCCGAAGTGATCACGAGGGCGGCACAAGGATGTGCGGGTCGAAGTGAGCGTGCGGGGCCGCGGGAGGATGTACAGGGGGACGCTGGAGTGTGTGCGAGGCCGGGGTGAGCGTGCGGGCCGCGGGAGAGTGTGCGATGTGGGGCGGGTGTCTCTGGGCCTGTGGGGAGCTACTCGGCCTTGAAGGTGGCCAGAGAGGGGAACGGGTCCCGGATGATTGGTACGACCAGGCCCAAAGGCCTTCCCGCGGCGGGCGGGGGGCGGCGGTCAGGGGCGGGAATCGCAGACTTGCAGAGGCCTACTCTGCTGTTTGGGGGACGCTAGGGGTTAGGACCCTGTCTGGGGCGGAGAGAGAGGACCCCCGCCCGAAGCGCGCAAAGGAAGCCGAGGGGGTGGGGGCGTTACGGGGGGAGGATGGTTAAAAGACTTTTCCCCAGTCTGTTGAAGGGGTCGAGCCCATGTCTGGGGCACTGGGTGGGTGGGCTGGGGACGGTTCCTGCTGGGGGAGCTCCTCCTTTGCTTTCGGGTGGGGGGGTGTCAAGCCTTAGCTTGGCTGGGAGGTTGGGGGCAGGTAGGTAGCCTAGAGCCTGAGACCTGCGGGGAGGGAGCGGAAGGGGGCAGCCCTGGCTGCGTGAAGGCCAGTTCAGGGCCCTCTCTCTAAACGGCTTTTTCTCTTGCCCTCTTGGGGGCCACCATCTCCCACTCCAGTGCCCCCCCATTAAACTCTTTTGCTGGCTCCTCCAGTCTATATTTGGGTAATTAATTACATGTCTTTTTCCACACACCCCCACTTGCCTGCTGCCCAAAGCCCATGGTCCCTTTCAAACATCCCCCCATTCCTGGCCCTCTTCCCGGAGGACCCATCCTGTTCCAACTGATGCCCTCCAGCCAGCCTTGGCCTAGCTGGGCTGGCGGCCCCCTCCAGTCTCCTTGGTCAGTCAAACATTTCCTCTTCAACCTCAACCCGAACATTTCTCCTTTACAAGAGGATTTCAGATGGGATTGCTGGAACAGCACCTCCCCTAGGTACTAATGCTGCCTCACCGCTTCCTCTGTCCTTCCCCTCCCGCCATGGGCCTTTAAGAAGAAACAATTTGCACAGTGTCTGGCACAGTTCAGAACATTCCCCCAAAATGTTATTGAATCTCTATTTAGAATCAAATTGAGCAGTGGTTTTCAGCCTTCTGTCCATGAGAGACCTCTTTGAAAAGCTGCTAGAAAGTGTGAATTCTCTTCTGACCATCAGCACAGACTTGGAGAGAGTGGGCTCCTGTTTTGGGAGGCTCCTGGGCAGGAATCCTGTCTGATGAGAGCTAGAGATGAGGGAACCTCCAGATTCTAGACAGGCCCAGTGTTAAGGAAGTGCAGCCCCTCATCATACATAATCTCTTGGAGTGCTTACAAAAAATGCAGATCCCTTGGCCTCACCAAGACCTTCTACTCTGCCACTTGAGTTCTTAGTGAACTCTAAACCAGGTTTCGAACCCAAGAATCCAGCCCTTGCCTAACCAGCCTCCTTGGGATTTGCACAGCATCCCACCCAACCCCCAGTTCAGAATCTTTTCTATCCAGGCAGTGTAACCTGAAGAGAGCTATACTTAAAATTTATTTTGATTTTTAGTAAGATGCCATACATCTTCTTGGGGAAATGGGAACATAAACCTTTCCTCAATTAAGTACAACAAACTACAAAATCCCCTTCTGGTCTACCTTCTGGCTTTTTATAGAAGGGAAAGAAGATGGAAACCTAAACAGAGAGAGACAGGTGCCCAAGCAAAGTGAGAGAGGAAACAGATGCCTTCCCACCCACACACACAGAAAAAGACACACACAGACACAAATATCCCAAGAGAAACAGACTTTCCTGGTGAGACATCCTCTCTTTTGGCCCTTCAGGATTCTGCTACTTCGAGTAGCAGCCTGTTTGCACAGTGCAGGGTTGGGCCAAGTGGGGCCTTTGCTTCCACCTCCTGGCTGGACAGGAAGGGGAGCACAGAGGCCAGGTCACCGTGGCCCAGAGGCTGGCTGGGGGTCACTTCCCACCTGGCCGGAGTGCATCGGGATCTTCAGCTGAGCACTCACCACACAGGAGGACAGGTTCCTGGAAGGTGCACATGAGTCTCCTTCGGTTCACCTGAATTATTTCAATCCAACAGGTGGGACCTTACCCGCTGAGCTAGTCTCTGAGAATCGTTCTGAGACATGATGAGCCATCCCTGTGTGTCTCTTTTGGGTAAGTCTGAGTGTTTACCCACCATGTCTGCTGGCCCCACCGGAGACCCCATGGGTGGGGATACAGGACATTGAGAAGTATCATTTTGGTTCCAGAAGCACTTATATTTTCATTTATGTCAATGTTGCTGAACTGTCTACCCAGAGACAATTCTCTCAATCTAAGCAGCACAAGTCAGGGAGAATTGGGAGTGCAGGTGATCATTTGGATGGGAGAGGGAGCTGAGGCACTCATCTGAAGGAGATCTCTTAGGAGTGGAAACCTATAAAGACACCCTTTAGGGCATATTAGCTCTGACCCAGAACCAAAGTGAACACCACAAGCCACCTGTTGTCTTCTGGGTAAACTCACGCTTCAGGGCCTGAGGACATTCTTCTACAGGTTCTTATTTAGATGCTTGAGGGAGTCCAGGTGTTACTTAGCAGCCCTTGGAAGCTTCTGTAACCTGCCATATAGGTCTTATTTGGGTGGGTTTGCTGCTTCTTCCCAACCCCAAGGCCCAGGGAAGGATGGCACCTGTCAGAGGAGATTGCTTGGTTATTTGTGTGATAGAATCAGTTGAATGCTGATCTTTTAGGCTCAGAAGCTACCTTTACTAGTAATCAGATCCTTGTGGGGAAGAAGGGTCTTAACCTCAAAGGTTAACTGGAAGACACCTAATTATTCACCACTTTTTGTGACATGGGTTTGTTTTTTGTCTCTGTTGAATTAAACTCTTAATTTCTGCTCTTTCAGATCAAAGTGAAATGATTATTTTGGGCCTCTTAGTGTTTCTGATTCCATGCGATAAATTTGATTGAAATAAATCAGTTAAAATTTACATTGTGATCTAAAGCACATAACAGGAAGATTTGTTCATTCATGTGAGCGCTCATGTTTTAGAACGCAAAATTTTTCAAATTGCCAGGTACTCGATTAACATTGACATCATTATTTTCCATGTTTCGAGCAGCAGATGTTTGTTAAACAGCTGCAATGTACATGGTGCTTGGCTAGGATTGGTGTGGAATCTGCATTTGACCTTGACAGAGCCTTTGGTCTCTGGGAGTTTATAGTCTTTAGACTATCTTCAGATCTCATTTCAGGAAGGAGGATAGTACTATTTACATTAAGAGTTGAAGATTTGTTTTCCCATAGTATTTCTCCAACCTTCTATTTCCCAGTTGTATGCAGGGGGCATGCACCCTACGAGATTTGGGGCATGCTTTTCTGCTGTGCCTTACATTCAAGGTCAGCATTACCCTGTGTGTCCATCAGGTGCATCACAATGATTTTCATGTTCTGTTTGAAATTGCTCCAACCTCGATTCCCCAAGATCCACTTTTGGAAGGCAGTGGACACCTGCATTTGTCACTTCTGTCAGAGCATCCAACTTCTTTTCCTGATTAGTTCCATCATTTTAAAATGGAACAGTTGTGCAACATAGATCCTAAATGATCCGATGGCCTCTAGGCTTGATGATAATTTTAGTTTCAACTGCAGGAGGGATTCATGTGTATTATCTTCCTTAGTGATCTTCCTGTGCTGTTCCTGAAGCTCTTCACCTGATACACTTGGTGAATTACGCAGAATTTAGCTTCCTTTTTTGAAAGCACAGCCCACTTTTTTCCTCTGTTTTTATGAACACCTTCTAAATGATCTCTGTGTGTCCAGGGGCTCTGTTCACTATGGGTGGTGATCACTCAGCCACTGAGAGCTGAGGCGCTCTCACACTAAGTCCCCCAGGTGAACTGGTACATATCGGGGGTTCGCAACACCCCCGATATAACTGGGTCCACAGGCAGTGTGTGTTGCAAGAGATGGGAGAGACAAAGGCATGGACACAAAAAGTAAGGGGAAAGGGTGCGGGGAAGATTATGGGACCACCAGCATTCCCGTGAGCCAGGTGGGACTGACTGAAATCTAGCACCGTTTTTATTCTCTTTTTTATGCTATAGATTACAATGATTTCACGTGAAAAGCTCATGGGTTAGCAGTAAAGTGTATAATCTAAATGGGAACAAAAGAGACCAGTACTTCTTTCTACTTTACTAGTTCCTCATTTACTGAGACATGAACTCAGGAGAGAGATGAAAACATTGCCTCAGGCTTAGAATAGCAAACTGCTCTTATCTTCTGGGCTGACATCCTTTGATCATTCTCTCCTAAAAGTCACAAGATGCCTTTTATCTATAGAAGCAGGAACACATAGCTGTTACTAAGCACAACTACGTGTTAAGGTGTGTATAGATAGTATCTCTACTATCAGCAGCTGTGGCCCATTGGATTGAGGAACAAAGAGATTAGTACTTCTTATTGGGAAGTTAGCTCTCCATTAACTGAGGCATTCTACTGAGAAAGGGGAGGGAAGGAACTCAACCTGGTGTTTTTTAAGAGTTGGAGCCTGACGTCCCTTCTCCCGGGCTGACATTTTGCAATCTTCTTTACAGCCATGGGTGGCTTTCATGTCAAGCCGCTCCGCAGCTTTTTAGGCATGAGGCCCCTCAGGCTTTAAGGTGGGGGTCTGCTTTTTGCAATCTTCTTTACAGCCATGGGTGGCTTTCATGTCAAGCCGCTCCGCAGCTTTTTAGGCATGAGGCCCCTCAGGCTTTAAGGTGGGAGTCTGCTTTGCTGTACTCCCGGATCACTGGAATGTCCCCCAACTGGGCAGTTAACTTCTGCCCTTATCTCCAGCTCCTGCTCAGGCAGCATTCCTTCACCTCCTCTCCTCCCATGGCCTCAGAAATGGGGTCCCTCAGCCCTGGTGATCTCATCCCCATCAGGTATAGGAAGGGCCACTCCTGTTGCTACCTGGGAAAGGATAATTAACAATGTAAGAACCGGTCCCCCTCGGCCCCAGGAACAGAAAAGCAGAGTCACCGAGGATGCAAATGGCAAAGGAGTTTATTTGCTAGCTCGAGCTAGGGTCCAAGTCCCAGAGCACCAACACAGTGGCCTCCCTAGGAACCAGGACCCCGCCCCGGGGTAAAAGTGAAGCTTTTATACTTTTGGTTGCGCACGACACACCGGTGGCATACGATGTGCTGAGCCCACCATCCCCTTTCCCCCTTTGTCCATTGGTTCCTTTAAAAGTGGAGGATTGTTTTGACCCCTGATTGGGTGGTCCCAAGCCTCAGGATTTTCAATTTTCGCGCCGGCGCCAGTTCTGATCTGCGTTTGGGGAGGGGGACTGAGACTTAGGCCTACTCTAGGAAGTTCAGCCTGTCATGGAGTTACTCCTGCCCTGTTTTTTTAACTACATTTGACTAACAACTAAAAGCAAGCACGGTTACAGAAGCAAATGGCATTAGTTAAAATCAAAGAGAACACATTTTTCTAATCTAAAACAGTTTCTGTTCCACACAAAACAAAGTACATTCTCCTACTATCAATTCCTGCCTTTCAACAACTCATTTGGGGGCTGTGGCTCCTGGATTTCAACAGCTAATCATGCCAATTAAGTAAAAACACTTCGGTAGGATTTGCTCAATTAAATGGAATACTTCAGGAGGATTTGCTCAATTAAACATGGGTGGCTTGGAAGAACTGTGCATGTGTGTGTGTGTGTGTGTGTGTGTGTGTGTGAGAGAGAGAGAGAGAAAGAGAGAGAGACAGAGACAGAGAGGGGTGGGGGGAGAGAGAGGGAGAGAATGCTGTGTCTATTACGCAGTGAGGACATGTTAATAGGATGATTTAAAGGGAGCCCCTCAAACACCCATATATACCATTAGGCTTAGCTGACACTACCAGTCTGCCTTCTGATACAGAGTTGCATGTTTTTTCTCTCTTCTGGTATGGTTGGAAAAGTCTCAAATCTTGGGAGCTGGACATTAAGCAAGTTAGCCTCTTAGAGCCATGGCTTCCTTCTCTGTAAAATGCAGGCAGTGATAACCGTAGCCTATGATAATGGAGTTCCGTGAAGGGGTATGCATGACTCCAGACACGTGTAGCAAGTGCTCCGTAAGTGGAAGCACACTCCCTCTAACACACCCCTCTCCGCACACATTCATTTAGTTGCCCCACAACTTCTCATGTGCCCACTCAGTGCTGAGAGCTGCTGCAGACACTGGGATTTGGGGATAACCAAGAAGGAGAAAGCCCCTGGCTTGTTGGAGCTGACATTTCTCCTGGGGAGAGTCAGGTAGAAACAACAGTCATAGGATAGCTTTTAGTTAGTGAGAGCGTTTTGAGTAGACTGTGATGGGGCTGGAGAGTGAAGACATTCTGAGGAGGCGACATTTGAGTTGAGGTGTGGGTTCTTAGAAGGAGCCACCTACCACAAGCCATAGGGATGGTATTCAGGGAAGGTTTGGAGCCCTCGAGGGCCACAGCCTTGGCCTATCTAGGACTGAATGGAACTGAGACAGGAGCAGGGAATGGGATTGAGGGGCTGGGCCAGGGCCTTGTAGAGGGGTTAAAGCCTTAGGTCTCTGGCCTGAGGGCAGTGAGAAGAGGTCTATAACAGGTCATCTTTCTCAGAAGGTGCATATACCCAATGTCCCTCCTCCCCGTTCCATTTGGTAACCAAACCACAGTGTCAATTGGAAATGAATTTTTTTAAAAAATGAATTGTATAAGTAATTCATGACCAGTTCATTTTGTTTTGGAAGCCAAAGTCAAACCAGACATCAGGATTCCAGGAAGAATCCAATAGGCCAGCAGGGCCCTGCCCAGGTGACAGTGGGACACAGAGAGGCTTGGCTGCTTAGCACCTGGGCATTAACTCCCACTGGGGAAGCACCTGTGCCTGCAGCGCGTTGAAGGCGGCAATGGGCTTCCTTGGGCTTTGGGGCTAGATGAAGCCTTCTACCCACACACGCCCAAGGCGCTGACGGCACGGGAGAGGAGCCAAGGAAGTTACAGCCCCATGGTCCTGCCTCTGGACTTGCTGGCTGTCACCCTTCGTGGACTGCCCACAAGTCCTGCCAGCCCTTCGCCCCTGTGCTTGCCTCGCCTGTGTGGGAATCGTGAAAGTGCTGTTCTTCTGACCCAGCCCGTCTCCTTGATCTCCGCCCTCATCCTCGTGCATGCCTAGCATCTTCCTTATGCAAAGTTTACCAAAATCTAGTCTGTCATGGGATTAGAGGGGGAGAAAACAAAGTGTACCAAAATCTTTTAAAATTGTTGCTCTTTTCTGATACCAGTGAAATTTAGTTTGGTTATTAAAAATTCCCACATTACAGAAACAGGAAACAGACCTTTCTAGGCCTTGACCCCATGTGGTCACACACACATTGAAGTCTAGGTATACTCATTCTAGCTAAAAGTCACTCTCAGTTTTTTCCTTTTTTCTCCTGAAATGCCATCTTCTCCCCTCTTTGGGTTTTCAATCAAGAGTTATGCCTGCCTGTGTCTTCTCTGAAGGATCACATTTTTGTAAGCCGCTGCACATCATCCTCCGTTGGCCACCTATTGGCTTTCCTCCTGCTCTGAGTTCCCAGACTCTGCAGTGGTGTCTTCGGAGTGCTGAGCCACCTTTTGCATTTATCCTCTCCCTCCTTTTTTTCATGACATTGGGGTTATTTAGACTCTTCCTGTCGGTTATAATATTAATATATTGTTTTCCATCCTTTCAACCTGTGTCTTTATATTAATATTTAAAGGTTTTATATTTAAAGTTTCTTTTTTTTTTTTTTTTTTGAGACAGAGTCTCACTCTTTTGCCCGGGCTAGAGTGAGTGCTGTGGCGTCAGCCTAGCTCACAGCAACCTCAAACTCCTGGGCTCAAGTGATCCTCCTGCCTCAGTCTCCCGAGTAGCTGGGACTACAGGCATGCGCCACCATGCCCAGCTAATTTCTCTATATATTTTTAGTTGTCCAATTAATTTCTTTCTATTTTTAGTAGAGACGGGGTTTCGCTCTTGCTCAGGCTGGTTTCGAACTCCTGAGCTCAAACAATCCGCCCGCCTCGGCCTCCCAGAGAGCTAGGATTACAGGCGTGAGCCACCGCGCCTGGCCTAAAGTTTCTTGATAGCATATAGTTCAGCCTGTTTTTTCACCCTCTGCCCTCTGATGGTTTAGTCCGGCAATCTTGCTGTTTGTTTCTGTTTGCCCATCTGCTCTTTTTCTTCTTTTTCTTCACCTTTCTTCTTCTGGATTATTTTTAGTATGTATTTTATCTGTACTGTTGGCCTAGTAGCATGCATCAGAGTCTTGAAGGGCTTGCCACGACACACACTCATGTTTTACTCCACGTGTGTTATAAACCACACACTACCTTGTTGTTATTTTTGCTTTAAACGGCCGGTTATTTTTTAAAGCTGTAAAAATGAGGGGAATCACTTCTCAGCCTTTTGGCTAAGATCAAGCGTAATGATGGGGGTAAAGTGTTTTCTCTTTCCCTCCATTTTCACGTTCCTGGTGCTCTTCGTGCCTTTGTGTAGATCCAGGTTTCCACCTGGTATCATTGCCTTCCACCTGAAAAACTTCCTTCGATTATTTCTTACAGTATAGACCTGCTGCTGATGAATTCTCCAAGCTTTTGTCTGAAAACATTTTTATTTTCCCTTCATTTTTGAAAGATATTTTCCTTGAATATAGAATTCTAGGTTAACAGGTTCTTTTTTCTTTTAGCACCTTAAAAATATCATTCAGTTGTTTTCTGGCTTGCTCGTTTTCTGATAAGAAGACAACAATTACTCTTTGTTCCTTTGTTCCTTCTTCATTCTTATCTTTGTAAAGTAGCCAAAGGAACAAAAAGCAGTTTCTTTCTTTCATCTGGCTACTTTAAGATTTTCTCTTTATCGCTGGTTTTCAGAAATTTGATTATGATGTGTCTTTTTAAATCTTGCTAGGGGTTGGTTGGGCTTCTTGGATCTGTGAATTTACAGTTTTCATCAAATTTGGAAAATTTTCAAGCCATTATTTCTTAAACTGTGTTTTGTATCCCCTCCCCATTTTCTTCACCTTCTCAGATTCCAGTTACGTGGGTGTTTGAACACTTTATATTATCCCCAGGCCACTGACACAGTGTTTGTTTTTAAAAACATTTGTCCTCTCTGAGCTTCATTTGAGATAGTTTCTATTGCTATGTCTTCAAGTTCTCCAATTTTTTTTTGCTGTGCCTAATATGCTATTAATATCCAGTGAAATTTTCATCTTAAATGTTATAGTTTTCACCTCCAAAAGTTGCATTTGGTTCTTTTCATATCTTCTGCTTCTCTCATTATATTTCTGTTTTTCTTTCAATACTTGTACATAGTTAAACTAGCTGTTATCCCTGCTTGTGAGTTCTGTCACCCTTGCCATGGGTCACATTTTTGTGCCTCTTGGCATCTCAGTAATTTTGATTGGATATTGGACATAAAGATTATGTTGCTGAGTGTCTGGATTTGGGGAGGTAGTTATTTGTGGATCAGTTTGATCCTTTTGAGGCCTAGTGTTAAGTCTTTTAAAGGCAGGTCTTCTGCAGCTTTGGCTATATGGATAGGTCAGCCTTACTACTAAGGCATAACCCCTCTGGATTCTCTACTGAATGTCACAGATGCCCACAGAGGATACTCTATGCTGGATGGTCAGACCTTCAACATCTCCCTACCTTTGTGTGTCCTGGGAATTGTTCCACCTACAGCTTCCCGGTCATTCTTTTCCCGGGCTTTTGTTGGAGTTTCACTCTGTGCATGCGTGGCTTAGCAGTTGGGAAACACTCAAGGGGAGCCTTATGCAGATTTTTGAAGCTCGTTTTTCTGCATAATTCACTCCTTTCTGGAACTCCGCTCTGCAACTTCCAGCTGCCTCAGCCGCTCTCAGTGCTGGTCTGTGTCTCCTCAGCTTGGCGAGGTCTCTAAGCGCTGTTGGTCCCCCTCCCTACACTGGCGATCTGGAAATTGCCTCTGGGCAGAGAGCTGGAGTGGTGATCAGGCTCACCTCAGTTGCTTCTCTTCTCCCGGGATCATGATCCTGTGCTTCCTGCTGCCCAAGGTCTGAAAGCTCATTGTTTCACTTCTGTTGTCTCCAGTCTTCTACTTGTTTATGACAGGACGTGAAACCAGTCCTGGTTACTCCATCACAGCCACAGGTGGATGTTTCCATTAGTCCTTCTTAACATAACATCTTTAATTTTACAGAAAAGTCTTTCTTCTTGAGCGAGTGTAAAAAGGCTTCCTTTTCATTTAATTATGAGTTGAATTGAATTGACACCAGAACCGGAGCTGTGACTCTCTCTGAAGGAACTGAAGTGAGAGGCCTATGGTGCAGATGCCCGTGGTAGAATCCTATAATATTTTACACATTTTGCAATTTGGAAGAGAAAGGTAACTTGTACAAATCATCCAGGTCTTTTATTTAGCAATTTAATGTTTAAAGGTCTTACCTTTGAGGCTTATTTTTCCAGCTGTTTTGTTCAACTATTCATTTTGTCGAGCATGTTAGAGAAATGTTCTCACCTGCAGGTGTCTCGCTTTCACCGGGGGAATTATTGCAGCGGGGTGTGGCTTTTAAGGGCCTCGCTGCTGGTCAGGAAGCCCCTGCTCCTGCTCTTCGCTGCCCCTCCTCCCTCCAGTGGCCTGATCCAGTTTGTTGTTGCCTCTACAAAGTCAGAAAGGATATCTCACTTGCTAGTTATTTCTTCTGATAATGCTTCTGGTGTGAGCATGGACTGTTCGAGGCTTGCTGTCAGGAGCCCTGTGGCGGCCTGTCTCTAAGAGCCAGTCTCCCTGCCTTTGCCTGCCTGTCTGCTCCCGCTATGCCTGGGCTGGTGCCCACTGATCTTGTCGTGGCTCCCTCTGGCCTGCTGCGTGACTTCTTTGCTGGCCCTTCCCCTGTGCGGGGTGTGCTGTCTCAGCCGTGCCCGTGCTCGGCCCGCCACTTGACCCGCACGTGAGAGAAGCCTCTACAAGACCTGAAACCAGGAAAAAGGAAGTTGCCAGTCTCATCCCAGGGCACCCGGAGGCAGGACTATTGTCACTCATGGCTTTTTTCACTTTCCTTAGCTTCACCTGCTCCCCAGGGTCTTGCCCTTCCCCAGGACGGAGCCCCAGGAAACCAGGTCCTGGCAGTCCCTCTTGAGACGCCGGAGGCCCAGGTGAGCTGTGCTTCCTCTGCCCTGCTTGGGATTCCGCCACTGCTCCCTGATTCTGGCCTTGGCCTCTGCCTCCTGCCCCAGCATGACTCACAGCAGAGTGTGACCCCAGCTGCCGCCTTCCTGCCCTCCCTCTGCTTCTCTTCCAGAGGCTGCCAAGGAATGGAAGCCCACTGGGCTTGGAGTTCCCATTGTCCAGGTAGGGGAGCTGAGTTTCCATTCCAGGAAAGTGACTGAACTGAGGTCCCTTCGGAAGACTGTGGGAGGCCAGGGCTGCAGCCCGGGTCTCCCGGCACTTGGTCAGGTTCTCTTCTCAAGACTTCTTGGGGCTTGTGGTCAGATATCCATGTTAGCAACACACACCTGCTCCAGGTCCTTGCCTCTTGTCCCTGGTTTCACTGGCACTTGCCCCGTCTCATTCTAGAATGGATGGAAAGACAGATTATGCCTGGGAATTCTTTCAGGATTTGGTGACATTTGATGATGTGGCATGCTACCTCACCAAAAGGGAGTGGCTGAGGCTGGATCCTGAGAAGAGAGCACTGGCGTATTATGGGAACGTGACCTCCGTGGGTAAGGATGCCCCAGCCCTTCCCCAGATTCGCCATCTACTGGGAGTGGGGGGGGCACACGATTAGCACCATACAAGCTCACCTTGTCCCTGGGGTGTGGGGAAATACAAAGGGTCTGCCACACCTGACATCTCAGAGTGGCACAGAAAGAACTTCCTTTGGTCTTTTATTGGGAAAGAAATTGTAACAAACTTACCACTCCAATGTAGAATACTCTTTTTAACCCATGAATTATACAAATTGCATGGCCATTGGACTTAGTTTCTTTTGAGAGAGGCTGATAGGCTCATGCTCCTGTTCACCCCTCAGGGTCTATATGCGTGGGGGGAGGAGGATTTTTTAGGAGGAACTTTTGGGAATTGTGGAAGTCTGTGGGTCTGGGAAGAGCAAGAAGTCTAATGTGTGGGTGCCGAGGGGTGCACAAGGAGGAGGTGGAGCAGGGGTCAGCTCCCCTGGTGGGCCCAGAGCCTGGCTTCCTCCGGTTCCTGAAGGGAGCAGCCCTCGGGAAGCACATTTGGACTGAAGGAATGACTGTCTGAGGTCACAGCCAGCCTGGTCTTCGAGGACTGAAAGGGGTTCCCCTGTTCCTGCACTATTCTGACATCATCTCTGGCTGTCCCTGTCACCCATGGCTTTTCCATGGGCAGGAGCTCCTGTTTTGAATCCCGCCTTGGTCTCTCACCTGGTGCAAGGACAAGTGCTGTTGGTATCAGACCCATCCATTGACACGGACCCAGCTAAGTGCTCTGGTGAGTGAGGAAGAAACCTAAAGAAATGTGAGGAAACGGGGGAGAGGCCTGACGGAGCTGCTGTGGGGTTTGGGTTAGGGTTGGGGGAGTCCAGCTGAGCTCTTGAGGTTGAGGTTAGGGTCGAGAGAGCCAGCTGAACTTTGGGGGGATTTGGGTTAGGGTTGGGAGGCCCATCCTAGGGGGGGAAGCCTCCTCAGGACCACTTTGGGGGGGCGTGTCCAGGAATAAGGCCCCTCTACCCCTTGCCTCTGCCATCCTTGCTTCCGGCCCAGGCCCGGTGCTCAGGTGCTGTGTCAGGAGGAAGAGGATTCTGGACAGAGATTAACCTCCTTCCTTCATCCTGTGCAGACTGCAGTGTCTTGTGTTTATTGTTTCAGAAAGCACCTCGGTGAGCCAGCACCAGATGATGGGGGAAGACACTCAGCCACAGGAGATGGCATCCACAAGTTCCCCAAGGGCTGGTGACCCCAGCCCTGAGGTCAAACAGAACGGGGATTCTGAGGGAAGGGGAGGGAGCCCACAGAATGTGCCTATAGAACATCATTTTGCATGTAAAGAGTGTGGGGACACCTTTCGGCTTAAAGTCCTCCTCGTTCAGCACCAGAGGGTCCACAGCGAGAAAAAGGGCTGGGAATGCGGCGATTGCGGGAGGGTCTTCAGGGGGGTGTCGGAGTTTAATGAGCACAGGAAAAGCCACGTGGCCGCAGAGCCCCGGCCTGGCCCCAGTCGGGCCCTGGAAGATGCGGGAGAGAAGAGGGAGCAATTGGAGCAGGAGGCGAAGCCCTTCCAGTGCGAGGAGTGCGGGAAGCGGTTTAAGAAGAACGCGGGCCTTAGTCAGCACCTGAGGGTACACAGCCGTGAGAAGCCCTTCGTCTGCGAGGAGTGCGGCCGGTCCTTCAAAGTCAACACCCACCTCTTCCGACACCAGAAACTTCACACTGCGGAAAAGCCTTTTGCCTGCAAGGTGTGCGGCAGGGATTTCCTGGATCGCCAGGAACTGCTCAAGCACCAGCGGATGCACACCGGCCACCTGCCCTTCGACTGCGACGACTGCGGCAAGTCCTTCCGAGGGGTCAATGGGCTGGCCGAGCACCAGCGCATCCACAGTGGGGCCAAGCCGTACGGGTGTCCGCACTGCGGCAAGCTGTTCCGGCGGAGCTCGGAGCTTACCAAGCACCGGCGCATCCACACGGGCGAGAAGCCGTACGCGTGCGGCCAGTGCGGCAAGGCGTTCCGCCAGAGCTCCAGCCTGCTGGAGCACGCGCGCATCCACAGCGGCGAGCGGCCCTACGCGTGCGGTGAGTGCGGCAAGGCCTTCCGCGGGCCCTCCGACCTCATCAAGCACCGGCGCATCCACAGCGGACTGAAGCCCTACGCGTGCGACAAGTGCGGCAAGGCCTTCCGCAGGAGCTCGGGCCTGAGCCGCCACCGGCGCATCCACAGCGGGGCCAGGCGCTGCGAGTGCGGCGAATGCGGCCAAGTCTTCAAGAGGCGCTCGGCGCTGCAGAAGCACCAGCCGAGCCACCACGAGTAGAGGAGCCCGGCCCGTGGCCAGCCGGGCGCCCCGGAGGGCATGGCACAGTCAAAGGAGATGAACAGTTTTGTAGCGCTTATATATTTTGTTGTCCGAAGGATTGAGACCAATTTATACTGCCACCAGCAATTTCTAAGTGTATATGTTTCCCATTGTGGCCATCGAGAGTAGCTTTTTCCCTTTTAACTTAGTTTGGCTAACTAACTGGCAGAAAGTACCATCAGGGTACGCCTTGAATCCCAGATGGAGAGAAGAGAAAGCCGGATGTGGAGGGGAGGGGATTGGAGGTCATCTACCCAAGCTCCCCGCCCCAGGGAAACACACAGTTATTCAACGATGGCGTCAATATAATGTGATCCCAGCTATCCCCAAGAGATTGCCCCAAAGTATTTTAGCCTACTTGAATTTATAAATTTTTAGGGATGTAAATAGAACACTCAAATGTCTTATAATATTTAATTTATTAATTTAGTTGTACATACATATTATAAATCACATATAGAATAATATATTAATTTAGAAAATACTCCTTTTTGCCACACTCTGTTTCATGAAATCATTTTATCCTAACTCCTCACGTGCATTTTTGACCTCACCATCTTCACCAGCATGGGAGACCCTTTGAGTCATCAGATAGTATCAAAGCACATCCAGTGACTTCCATCCAAGCTGTGTGCAGTAGCACCATGACAATCCCTGCATGAGGCTCTCACTACAGATTTCCTCCTAAGCCATAAGAACATATTTGCATAACACTGGGACAAATTTTAACTTGCCCTGTAACTCTACAACATAATCACTAGAGGTAGTTCTTTTTCGAACGACCTTTCAAAGGGTTTTTTTTTGTTGTT